CCGCCGCGGCCGCGCGCGCCGACGGCGACGGCCGCGCGTGCGACGGCGGGCGCGAGCTCGCGGGCGGCGCGCAGGGTCTCGGGGCGCCCGTCAAGCAGGCGCGCCGCGAGGCGGACGCCGCCGCTCGCGCCGAGGGCGCTGAATTTTGGCGCAGGCTTGCCTGGGTGAAACATGCAGGAGATCAGGCCCGAGGCAAATCTGAAACCATCATTATCTGTGGAGATCGCGCAGCAGGCGTCTGCGGCGTTGAGCACCGCGGCGTAGCACGCGATTATCTTGCCGCTGCGGCCCGACAGGTCCGCCAGCTGCAGCGCGACCACCAGGCGCCGCAGCAGCGCGACGCGCGGCGCCTTCGCGGCGCGCCGGGCGTGCGCGCGCCGCATGCTCGGGAACAGCAGGTCGCGCGGCGACGGCGGCGCCGCCGCCGCTGCGTTGACGGCGATGCAGACGTCCAGCAATGCGCCCTCCCATTCTTGCGGGTCTGCGTTAAATTCGAGCGCTGCCAGCGCGAGCACGTGGGCAATGACCTCATCGGGCAGCTCCGCCGCCTCCCGCGGCAGCGCGCGCAGCAGCATGCGCGCTCGGGCGCCGGCGCCACGCAGCGCGCGGCGGAGGAAGGGGCGCGGGTCGGCGCTGGGGACGGCGTGGACGAGGGCGCCGATTTCCAGTAGCTGCAGGACGGCGCGGTCTGGCCCATCCTCGGTCGTTGCAGCGGTGGCTGCGCTGGCGTCCCCAGCGGGGCTGTCGGCGGCAGCTGCAGAGTCGCCGGCGGCGGCGAGCAGCGCTGCCTCGGCGCACGCGGCCTGTGGGCCTCCCCTAGTTCCGCCGCTCTCGGCCGCGGCGAGCAGCGCGGCCTGGGCCCGCTCGCTGTGGGCCCCCACGCCCTCGCCCTCGCCCTCAACCTCGCCGCCGTCTTCCTCACACTCGCCACTTCCGCCGCCGGACGCCGCCGCAGCCAGAAGCGCCTCCCCCGCCCCGCCCGCCTGCGCCCCGCCGCCACCGCCGCCGCTCGCGGCGGCGGCTTGCAGCTTCCCCCCTGCGCGGGCGCCGTGAGGGCCGGCGGCGCCGCCCGGCCCACCCTCTGTGATGACGTCACCATCGGCGCCGCCGCCCTCGTCACCCCTCAGGAGCGCGCCGACCTCCAGAGCCATCGCCGCCCCCTTCGCGACCGCCCGCCGCGCCGCGCCCGGCAGCGCCGCGTCGACCGCGGCCAGCCGCGCCGCGCCCAGGCTCGCGCCCAGGGCCGACAGCAGAGCGCGGGCCGGCTGCGCGGGCGCGAGCGCGTGCAGCAGGCAGCAGAGTTCGGCAAACTCGCCCGCAGTCACCGGCCCGCGGCTTGCGGCGGCTGGGGCAATCTCGAGGCCTGCCGGCGCGGCAGCGGCGGCGGCCGCGTCCTCGGTCAACTCCTCCTCGCCGCCTTTGACCAGCGCGGCGGCGTAGCCACGGGTGTAGCGCGCGGCGCCCGCGCCCGGCGGGGCGACGCCCCGCAGGCTGCCGAGCACGGCGCAGACTGCCGCAATAAAGCCGCCGCTGCTTGCATCGACGCCGGGCGCGCCGCTGAGCGCGGCGCGGCCGTCGGCGAGCAGGGCGCACACGTCCCCGAGCGGGAAGCTGCGGTCTGACTCATAGATCGCCGCCAGCTCGCCCGCGACGGCGCCCGCGCCGTGCCAGCGCGCGAGGGCAGACAGCAGCGCTGGCCGGCGCGCGGCGAGCCCGCCAGACGCAGCGCCAGCGACCATCAGCAGCCGCAGCGCCGTCGGCGCGGGCAGGCGGCAAACCAGGCCGGCGACGTCGCCGTCGCCCCAGGCGCGGCGCAAGGCGAGCAAGGCAAGCTGCTCCGCGGCGGCGGCCGCCTCGGGGCGCCCGGGCGTCCATGCAGGGTCCGACAGGAGCGCCATGATGCGTCGCAGCAGGCCGGCGACGCGCTGGGGATCTTGAAGAGCGTCCTCTGAGCCGCCGGAGCCGGCCGGCGCCGCGTGGGGGACGGATGAGATTAGTCGCGCCAGGTTAGCGACGGCCGGGAACGCCGCCGCCTCCGCGGCGGACGCGGGCGCGGCCGCCACGGCACGAGGTGCGGCAGGCGCGTCGGCGGCGCCGACAAGCGCAGCGGCAGGCGCGGGGGCGGCAGGCGCGCTAGCAGGCTCTGGCGCCTCGGGGTTCGTTTTGCCGCCGCCGCCGCCCCCCTGGCCCATCTGCCAAACCGCCTCGCCCCTCAGGCGCCCCTCCGCATCCGCGGCGCCCTCCACCGCCGCGCGCGTCGCCGGCGTCATCTGCGGGCCGAGCGCCGCCAGCATCGCGCGCGCGTGCTGCGCCGGCAGCGCCTCAGCCATGCGCCGCAGCAGCCCCTGGAAGCCGTCGCCGCCGCGCCCCTCGGCCGCGCACGCGTACAGCAGCTGCAGCGCTGGCCCGGCGTCGCGCCGGCGCCGCTCAGCGTCGGCAGCCGCGGCGGCCGCCGGGAGGAAGGCGGGCAGGTCATCGTCTTGCAGCGCAGTAGCCGCGACGCACAGCACGCGCAGCGCGCGCGGCTCGGCGGCGAGCACCGGGTGCGACAGCTCGAGCCCGCCCGCCGCCATCAGCCACGCGGCCGCGCCCGACGACTTGGGCGCGGCGGCGGCGACGGGCGCCGCCTCGAGCGACGCATAGGCGGCGGAGGCGAGCCGTGCGAGCGCTGATGGGCTGACCTGGCCGGCGAGCGCGGCCAGGTGCGCGGCGCCCGCCGCCAGCGGCAGGCGCAGCAGCACCGCCGAAAGCACCTCCTCAATCGGGACGCCCCTGCCGCAGCCGCTGTCCACAGAAGCGTCATCGGACTGCCCCTGGGCACGCACCTCGGTGGCCACCTCAGCCCAGCCGCCGTGCGCGACCAGCGCCCCCCAAGCGCCCGCGAGGCGCCGCGAGTCCGCAACTGGTATCTCGGACAGCGCCCCCGCGAGGCCGCGCGCGCTGGGGCAGAACGTGCCACGGACGGGGTTCACGACGACGGCCCACACAGCCTCCCACGCCGACTCGAGCACCGCCGGCGCCCCCAGCAGCGCAAAGGCGAGCTCAGGGTCGGCGCGCTCTGCCGCAGCAACCAGTGCCGCTTCGCACAGCTCAAGGGCGGCCGCGGCGCCCGCGCCGTCCCCCGCGGCCGCGCAGGCGGCCATCATATCCGAAGCGGCGCGCGCCGCCTCCGCGGGCGGGAGGCCGGCGAGCAGCGCCGCGGCAGCTTCCGCGTAGGTTCTGCGGACCGTCTCGTCGGCAGAGGGGGAGGTGCAGACCAGCCACAGCGCGTGTGCGACGCCGTCGCCCAAGGACACCGAACCGCGGCCGGCCGCCGCGCGCAGGAGGTGCCGCAGCAGCCGGCTCGCGCGCACGCCCGGCGCCGCGGACGCGACGGCCGCACCGAGCAGCAGCGCCGCCGGCGCCGCGGGGCGAAGGCCGGAGACAATTGCCTCGCACACGGCGTCGACCGCGGCGTGCGCGCTGGGGGCCGCAGCTGCGGCGTCAGGGCTGGCGGCGGCGGCGGCGGCAGCCGATGTTGCGGCGGTGTCGACTGATATGATGATCTCAGCAAAGGCGCTAGGGTTAATCCTTTCGAGGCCCATCCATAAGGGGTCGGCGACGGAGGGCTCGTCGGCGAACGCGTCTGCATGTGATGCAGGGTGGGGGTGCGGGGGGCGGGGCGTCGAGGCTTGGTGGGAGCGAGGGTTGAGGGTGATGTGAGGTTGGGGGGCGCCTGTGGTGGGGACGCAGGAGGCCCAGGCTTAAGCAAACGACCGGGCGCGCATGGTCTGTTTTGTGGCCCAAGAACCTCGGGATGCGCGAACGCAGAGTGATCACCTCCGGCATGCCACAGTTGCGAGATACGCAACCATGCTTCACACAGCCGACACCCGCCCCTTCCCAGCATCCCCCGGAATCCACGGCGTCCAAGGCCGCCCATGCTGACCTCAACCAGTAGTGCTTTGCGATGCGATCACGGCAGGACAACACCGACTCACCCTCATCAGCCACCGAGCTGACTAGGATGTCGTCGTCGGCGGCGGCGGCGGCGGCGGCGGCGGCGGCTGCTTTGTCTCGCCCCAACTCCCCCTCCTGGTCAGCGCTGCCCTCTGCCGCTGCGGCCACGAGCACCAGTTCCCTAAGCATGGGCGCCGGCAGCGCCGGCAGCGCGGCGGACGCGAGCTGCGGCAGCAGCGCCCAATGCATCAGCAGGCAGCTCAGGCGGGCGGCGGGGGAGGGCAGCATGACTGCGGCGGCGGCTGACAGCAGATCTTCGCGCCCAAACCTGCAATGAGGGGGGTGAAGGTTGTGAATGTTGGAAACAAATATAGGCAAATGCAGGCATGACGGCATGGCGTGCAGCCCAGCAACGACTGATGGACTGCCAGGTACTACAGTGATGTATGCATGCATCAACCATCCAGGACAAGCTTCGTACCTGTCTGCACGCTGGCATGCAACCCAACTGGAATCCCCGTCCCCGCACCCCCCGTCCAGCCGCCCAAACCACAGTCGCCCACCTCGCCCATACAGTGGCCAGCACAACCCCCGCCTCAAGGAGCCCCAACCGCGGCGCCACCACCTCCAAAACTTCCAGCAGCCAGTATGCCTCGTATCGCGCGTCCCCCGCGCCCGACACCAGCGCGAGCAGCCGCCGCACCACGCCGGCCGCGGGCAGGTGCAGTATCTGCCCCGCAGCTGCGCGAGGCGGCAGGCCGCGCGCCGCGGCGGCCCACTCGCGCTCGGCCGCCGCCGCCGCCGCTGCCGCGGCGGTGGGGGTGGAGTAGGGGGGGTTCGATGGGTCCTGCAGGGACGGCTCTTCACGGATCAGCGCGCGCGCTAGCGCCGCGACTGCTCCGCAGACACGCCTGCAGGCAGGGCCGTCCCACTCGGGCCTGCCGTCCTGCAGCTCCGGCGGGGGCGAGGGGGACGCATGCTGGGAGGACCCTGTTGATGGCGGCGTGCTGCCCGCCTGAGTGGCGGTGCTGCTGGCAGACGCATCTGCGGCTGTGGCGGCAGAGGCGGCGGCGGCGGCACTGCCGGCGAATGTGCCATGCTCAGCTGCGTAGTCGCGGATGGTGTTGGTGTATGGGAGTCCGTCAAAGCCCGGCGGCCCCGAAAGCAGGCGCTCGTCTGCAGAGCCGGGTGGCGAGGCGCGCTCACCCCCGCGCCCGGCCGCGCGCGCCGCCGCCGCGTCTGGCGTCCCCGGCGCGGCCGGCGCGGCCGGCGCGGCC